GCTGGGCCAAAAGACTTTAGATGATAGGAACTAATGTATTCTTATGTTTAGTGTTGGTTTATACAAATAAGTACCATCATTTTAGTCCAAGAAGCTGATTACTGAATAAGAAATGAAAACAAACAGGTTGCAATTGGGTGAATCGATGGCATAAAACAAAGTGTAGACTACTTTCTTATTCTTACTTCTGCTTCCTAATGCTAAAGAGAAACTGTCTCCTTCAACTTTCCTCTGTTCCTATTTATTTCAATCCTTTTCTCTTTATCTCTCATAAGTTTTAGGATCTATAAAAGAGGTAATTTTTGAGATCTCAAACCTATGCCAATAAATTGATAGTCCTGACAGTTGCTTTCAACCAGGAGTGCATATCAAAAACAGCTGCTGGTGCTTTTAAAAATATAGATGGTTGGGTTTCTCCACATGCTCATTCTGACTCAGGGTGTCCTGGGTGGTTTCACTGCGGAGTCTGCTGTGCGCCAAAGGTGAAGAATCATACAGTCATGATGTGAAATAGCCATTCCGGGGGCAAATTAGAAAAAAATACCTTAACCAGATCAAATTATGTGAGTGGTACACAGGGAAGAGACAGGCATAAAACTTCATCTGCATATTCAGGTCCGTATGAGGAGGCAAGTTTTTATTATGTATTATGCACTGTCCTTGACAAAAATTCATATTCATGCCTGAAATACAGACTTGGCCAATGGACATTAAAAATAGGTTTACACATTATTGCATACATAACAGATTACCATAAGTCTATATTTTACTCTAAATAGCCTGTAACATCCATAAGAATAAAAATACAAGCTTAAACAAAATTCAGTGCTGATGTTGCGAAAGCAGCAAGTCTTTAATGAATTAATAAACACTAGTGATAAAAACAGAATTTCTTCTTTTTTGTAAATGAAATCTAAGAAGGTCATACCATATTCTTTCATGAAAACTACTATGTTTAGTTACGCAAATCACGATCACATGAAAGATTTTTATACCATAATTCAGATAGATTGTTAAGTCTATGTCTCCTTAACTCTTTAATAAAAGGCAAAAAAGACACAGGAATTTAGCCTAAACTAATGCTGACCTAAAATTGCCTTAAAACCACATATGGCTTAAAAACAGCACACAGAAGAAAGTCCAATGTTCATTAGTTTTGCCAAAAGTTGCAGAAATGTTCAGTTGTGGTTTATATTTTTCCAAGTTAATAAAATAATTGTCTCAGATACTTTGTTTTGTCTGATAATGCTCATAGGAAGTATTGACTTTTTATAGCTGCACACAATTGAAACCAGACACAGTGCATGTACCCTATGGTTTCATCTCTTTTCATACAAATAATTAAAGAAAACAGATAAGAAGTCAAGGTTACTGAGCTGTGGTTTCCCAAGGTGCTTTAATTCACAATTGAATTGTGTATCTCCCCTAAATGCTGAGGTACTCAGCCCAAGAAGGATCAAAATAATGATTTCTCTCCACATTTTAAATTTCTTATAGATTCTTCTCTTTTTAATGTGAAGATGACAAAATGAAGTTGAAAATGTGCTCTTAATTTCTTTCCAGAAATAAAGAACTCCCAGAAGGTATGGTGCTCAGACTGAAATATTTGTGTTAATAGGAAGCTCTGTTTATGGGGGTAATTGTTTTGAATACAAAGCCAGGTTGTCTCCAGGGCATTAGTCACTACCTTCTATAAAGTTAGGCCACTAGGGGACTATTTGGAACTCCTAGCTTGATTGGGCTTTATGTGCAAAAGTACTGCTGATAAGTGTTATTGCTGGAGGCCACTAAATAGTATCCTCAGCTTGAAGGAGTTAGTATAGTTCCCTAAGTGCCTCATTAAAAGGGCTCGCTCCAGACTTCCCTCTCAGCAAACATCTTTACAAATCCATAAACCAGATTTTGCTGAATCTCCTCATAAGGAAGATTAAGTGAAAGCAAAGCTCAGGTAAAAGACCTTTGTAGGTTTAAAGACAATGTTAAAACAAAAAAGTCATCAGACACATTTTTGCCAAAGTGTTTCAGAATTTTGGAGCTTATCTCATTTTCTGCCCATGCAGAATTGGCACTCAGTTGATAAATTGTTTTACTTTGAATAAAACATGATAGCCTTTCTATTTTAAAAAGGGAGAGGAGAAACATCATAAAAGCTATGATTAGAAAATAATTCATTCTCCTTCCAATAATGAAAAAATGCATACTATAAAATGCACATATATATGGTAAATACTTATAAGACATAAATCAATTCCAGACTTCATAAGTCTGTCTCTCTTATTTAATGTGACTAGTTCGTCATGGCAGCAGATGTTTACAGCTAATAATTCACTATTTTGGAGGGTCACCATGATGGCAACTTTGTATTTCTTTTTCTATTATCATTAATATTCATAATAATGTATTGTAGATTTGCCTAAATCTACATATATATTGTGATTCTCAGATGACTTCTTCACATCCATTTTAGTCGTGAAGTAAGTAATCATGAGTTAAGGTGGTTTGCAAAATAATATTTTTGGCAGCGTTAAGTTAAAATGTTGCAGTCTTTGCACAATAATAATAACTACTGTTTAGTGAACATTCAGTATGCCAAGTGCTTTACTTGTATCTAATTCTCACAACAGCCCTGCAAGGCAGGTGAAGTATTCTTATTACTGTCCCCTTTTCATGAGTGAGAAAGCTAGGCACATGTTACAGGATTTTCTAGAAGTCACTTCATTTGTAAATGACAGTGTGAAGACTCAGTTAATATAATTCAAGGGTCTCTTTTAGAACTTAGGTTCCTTTCCCCCCTATATGTTTGAATGACATGGGCAGAAAGAAACCTTAGAATCAAACCAGCTTTCCAGTTCTCCATGACAATCGTGAACCATGGTGATCTACCCTCTACCTGAGCGTGTCCACTGAAGAGGGGTCCTCACCACTTAAGGGGCAGTCCATTCAAGTTGGGAAAAAACCACTGGAGAGTTTTGTTGACACTTAGTCAAATTTTGCCTCCCTGGAATGTTCCTCCGTCCATTATGGGGATTTCTTCTTTTGAACAATGTTGAAATGCAGGTTCTAACTCAGGAGGTGTGGGGTGGAGCTTCAGATTCTGAATTTCTAATAACTCCCAGCCAATTCCCCTGCTGCTTGTCCCTGGACCACACTTCGAGTAGTAGGCTCCAGTGCTGCATACCTCTGACCAGTCATTTAAAACAACTCTCAGACAGGTTTATACCTAACTCTTTTGTTTCTCCAGGTTAGACACTGAACTATTCACCTGCCCTCAATATGGTTTCTAGATTCCTCCCATCCTGCTTGTACTGTCTGGGATACGTTCACTCATAAAACCTCCAGAATTGAAAACATATTCTTGATGTAACCAGACCGTGGCAGAAACAAGTAAGTTCTGTATTTTTGCAACTAACAACTATTATTAAGTAGACTGTATACATGAGTCCTTGAGTTTTAGTAGCCAACAACATAAAATGAGCTTATAGCCAAGTAAATCTCTCCCTCTTTCAAATACTAGGGTCTTACACTTGTCATCTTGATCCCATATCCTCAAAGTTAATTTTGCATATTTTTGGTCTAGATAAAATACTTAACATTTATCTCTGTAGAAATCTATTTTGTTGGTTTCCTATCTTTCTATCTTGAGTTTATTGTTTATTGAAGACATAAAGCTTCCAACTTTGTGCAACTCAAACTTTATTAACCTATAAGCAGACTGTTCAACTGAGTATCTGATAAAAATGTTGTGGACACAGAGACACCACTTGAGACTTTTCTTTACTTATCAAAACCCTTTGTTTACTGTCATTCAACCAACTATGAACCTAATGATGAATGAACTGTGATGTTGACCAACCACAGTTTTTACACATTGTGTATGAGACAGAACTTAGGCTGGTAGAACCTTTCTCTTCACCATTTACTTTCCCTCCTTTCTGAGAGACAAATTTGTCAAAAAATGGTCAACAGAAGGATTATCCAGAAGATTTAGATGTGAAAAAATGACAATTAGTCGATAAATGAAAGTCCCCTTCCATGACTGTGCTCTGGCATTCTGTCAACAGATTTCAATACTTAATATTATAGGCATTGGGTATGTGATTACTGGATTATGAATTATTTCAACCATCTACTATATGATCTTGGAAAAGTTCATCTTCCAACTTGTTCATTTTCCTCTTAAAATGGAGACAATATTAGCCATAGATTTAATATGAAATTAAGAAAAGAATTTATGTATAGGGCTGCTGATACATGTTAAGCATCGAAACGTTAGCTGTGAACACGGTGATGAAGAAAACGAGGTTTCCTGTTACTATGGAGACCCCAGTGAACCATTCCTCACAGTTCACACCCTGGTGTACTCCTCTCACCCTGAATCCAGATTAGCCCTGTCATCAGCTTTAACCAAAAATAACAGAAAAATGCAGTGAAAGTGAAGCCATGCTATTTCTGAGTCTAATAAACCTTGAAAAGGCCTGGATGCTTCTATTTTTGTGCTTGAGGGATGCCAACTGCCACATAAGACGTCTGTTGACCCTGATTACCATATTCGAAGTGCACCCCAAGCCACATGGAGGAGCTCTCAGTCAACAGCCAGCAACGACTTGACTCTCCAGCCCTGTGAGCGGGGCCATGGGTAGTAGCTGTTCTGCTCGCCGACCTGCAGCCCTGCACAGCTTCCTCGTCCTGGCTCCTGTACCCAGCTTGGGTCTGAGTTCTAGCTTCCCCCACCCTCATTCAACCAGAAAGAAATCCAGGCAATACATAACAGTTTCCCAAAGAATTTCAGTAACACATTTTTCTTTCTAATGCACACATGGAAACAATTTACGGAAAATGATTTACGAGTGTCTTGTGTTTAATGAAAATAATGTCACTAATTTATCATTTTATTCTTAAAATAACTAAAAAACATCTAAAAATACAAGGGTTTATCACATAGTGGGGTAAAGATAACCTCATGATAAAACATCAAAAACTACTAAATTCTTCTATCTTACCATTTTATATTCTTTCCAGCCTCTTTGGAAATCCACACTTCCATCTTCACGATGTTGTATTACAGTCCAACCTCCCCCATTAAGATCCATATTGCAAAATACCTGACAGAAAAGGGGAAATAAAGTCAAGTAAAAAAAGTATGTCTGTTTTAAAGAGATATGTATCAGATATGTTTTAAAATAGAAATAGAATGGACAAGCCTAAAAATAAAAAGAATACAAATTACTATGTGGAAACGTTAACTTAGACACATGATTGGTTATTCATATTATATTTGAGTTATTTCTGATTAAATTCCATCAAAGATGCATTAGTTACTTATAAACATTTAAATCCATCACCTGAAAATAGTCTGAGTTTCAAATTATAATAATTATTTTAAATCTTCATTTTAAACGGTAATAGGTACTTGTATATGTGCAATTTTTTAAAAATACTACTAGTTTCCAAAAGTACAGACCATTTTAGCACCGAAACACAAGACTGGAAGTTTTAAAATCTTTAGTTAATTGAAATGGCAATATAACAATAATAAAGGTTTTAGAAAAACAATTTTTAAAAAAAATCATTTGTATGTACTTATTACATATTTCACTGAATATTAACTTCTATACACTTACATACTATAATAAGTACTCTTGATGGCTCAGTGTTCTATTAGAGACATAATTTTGTCCTTGGCATATGGAGAACACATTATTTGCATGAATTTTCGTCATGAACAATAAGAGAAGAATATGACATACTGTATTTTTTCTGACTGAAACAAGCATTTCTTTCTCATGTGGAAAAGTCATCCAAATTTTTCAAAGAGTTATGCTTATTTCAATTATTCTAAACAAAATAGCATTTCTTTTGAAATGGATTCATTTCCCTCAGGGTCCACCCAAGGAGAGGAACACATTTGCAATGGACTATCTTTGGAGCGCAATCACGGTGACAAATGCAGCCGGAATGCGGCAGTTCGATTGGGCCCAGCTATGTACACCATTGCCCGGCCATCGACTACAAAGACTTTGGAGGCTGACTAAAGGGTCAGCTGTGACGCAGCAGTGGCAGGAGGCTGTGTGGGCACAGAGCTAAACTGAGTAAAGGAAAAACTTGGGTGTTTTCCCGGAGGCATTAAATTTGGGCAACAGATAGCTAAAGGGTAGAAAAACAATGACAAGAACTGTCATTCAAAGGACAAATTATGCATGTACTTCTTCAGAGTGAAAGGAACTAAAAGATACATGCCTACTGGTGAACATACAAATAGGTAAACTGCTCTCCTGAGGGCTGGCTGTCCCTCTGATTTGCCAACAGCCACCCATTAGTATGTCTTCATAATCCCTAGGAATTGACTCACCTCCAGGATTATAAATGTGGAATTCTCCTCCCTGGTTCCCCCTCAACTAACCCTTAACCCTTCTGTACCTATTTATTGTCCTCAACATAGCCTCTAGTGAGTCTTTTTTCCTCCTTAATTCTTATTCATTCATTCAATTATTTTTCACTCATTAGACATGTTGGCATTGATTCTGTGTTGCAACTGGAGATATTAATGAAATAAAATATGGCTCATGTCCTGAAAAATGCCTAAATGTTTCAGGCATTTTAGTGTCTCCTCCCATGGGATTAAGGACATGCAGGAGCCTACAACTGTCAGCCCCTGTGACCTGCATGATGATGAAGACAGTGATCTAAATGAGAAATGTAAGGAAGAGAGCTAATATATGAGGAAAGAAAATAATCATGGGTTTGAACATGTAGAGTGTGAAGTAACATAGTCATCTAAAAGGGGGAGTTTATTGATCATTTAAAGATGATCTACTGAAGGTGGAGCAAGGATAGAATATGGATAAGAGAATGAGGGAATAGGAGAGGAATAGCCATTAACCATAGCATGGGTGTTAAGTGCCAGATGATTTAAACTCTTTGTATGCATGTTCTAACTTACCTCACAACAATTCTATGATGTAGACATGATTATTATCTCCATTTTAGGGATGGAAAAACTGAGGCTTAGAGTACTTCAGTAGCTTACCAATGGTTATTATTAACAAGCACTAGATCCAAGATTTGAACCCCAGGTCTACCTTATTCAAAGTTGTATTGGGCATAATGTGCTTGAAAGTAGTAGTTGATAGGTTGAAGATAGATTATCTAAAGACAAAAAGAAAAAAGTGGGAAGAGATGTGTGTGGGGTGGGGGAAGATCCAAGAATGGGCTTTATAAAGCAACTGATGGAGATAAAATACATCAATAACCTTTAAGAGGACAGGGATTTCATTTTATCTGCTACTGTTCCCAGTTCCTGGAACAGTGCCTAGCCGCTAGTGGGTAGTAAATGAACATTTGTTGATTAAATAGAGATGCAAAAAAGGAAGAAAAAAAAAAAAACTTGATTAATGTAAAACAATAAAAGAAGGGGATGAATTTAGAGCTGGGGAAGTGATCAAATTAATCAAATATTCCAGAGAAGTCAAGACAAATACAGATTAAGAAAATACATGCTCAAATTTAAAATGAAGGAGCCACTAGTGACCTTGATGAGACAAAGTACAGGATTCCCATAACAATAAAATCCAGATGGCACAGATTAAAGCAGGAATGGGTGGTGACTCAAGACAAGTGGCCAAGGTGGAACTTTACTGGTGAAACTTAAGAGTAAATGAGAAAGTCAAGAAAACATTTTGCTAGGGAAAATTGATGTCACCTGTTTCTTAATTAAATTTTACCCTGCCTTGACTGGCTAATCTAGATTTTTCCCCGGATTTCAAATTCTGTTTGTAAACCTATAAAGTCCACTCACATACTCAGGGGAAGAAATAACTACATTTATAAATATATAGTGTGAGAGAAAACTATTGTTTACAGTTTTTTAAAAATTTTTTTATCCTTACTCAAGGATACTTTTGCATTCATCTTCAGATAGAGAAAGAGGGAGAGAGGGAGGAAGAGAGAGAAACATCAATGGGAGAGAGACACATTGACTGGCTGCTACCCACATGGCCCTGGTTGGCAACCAGAAGACAAACTATAACCGAGGTACATGCCCTTAGCGGGTACCGAACCCAGGTCTCTCTGGTCCATGGGCCAACGCTCTAACAGCTGAGCCAAAGTGGCCAGGGCTCTTTACAGGTTTTTATTACCAGTATCTATGCTATTAAAATCTATGCAAAGTTTTAGAGTCACTCACAGAATTTAGAAAAAGACAACTTTCCTTTTAAACAAAGATATTCAGTGACTTAAAATTGTTAAGATGTTTTGAGAGCCCTTCTCAGGTAAAAAGCCAGAGCAAATTGGACTACATGGGAGACAGAAGTTACCCAGAAAGATTGCTGTGTTGGGAGCTGAAGTGAAGAGAAGTTAACAGGTTGGACGTATACTCCACAAATCTTACGAGGACTCGATAATAACAGAAATAACAGCTGCCATTGTGGAGTATGGGCATAATAGTACTGAACGGCACCTTGGTTAGGGGCATGGACTTGGGTGCTAGGTTACCTGTGTTCAAATTCCACCTCTGCTTTCTCTCTCTCTTAGATCTTTTACTTTTAATTTTTTTTCCTTTATTGATTTTTAGAAAGAGAGGAAGTGGAAGGGAGAGAGAGATAGAAACATCGATGAGAGAGAACATCAACTGGCCACCTCCCACATGCCCCCCACTGGGGGTCAGGCCCACAATCTGGGCATGTGTCCTGGATGGAAATCGAGCCGGAGAACCCTTGATGCTTGGGTCGACGCTCAACCACTGAGTCACACCAGCCAAACTCTTAGATCTTTTGCAAGGACCAAATGAGTCAATGTACAGTATATAGTGTTTTTTAGAATAGTGATTGACACATATTAGGCTTTATCATTACTCCCATCTCTTAGATGTAAGTAAATAACATATAAGATAATATGTATTTATGTTACACATTATATACTCTATGTATATATTTCATAGTACAGTTCACTATTATATCTAACTGCATATAATTTATTATTTATAACTTATTATAAATAATACGAAATGTAGAAAGCCAAAATATGTATAAATTCAATAAATTGTCCTTATGATTACAATGACCAGCTTCTTGTTATTAATACTGGCATCACTAATCTTTGCGTACGCTACTTTTTCTTACAGATATATTTAAAAAGTCGGATTCACTCTAGAAAAAAAAAGACCGTGGAAGAAAAATAAAAAGCCTATGCTTAATAGATGAAGGAAGTTCAAGAAAAAAGGTGGTTGGTTTCAAAAGATTTGAGACATGAAAGGACTTGAAAGGTTCATTTGCCAACATTGTGTGGTCTGCGCTACCTTCCTGCAGACAAGGGCCTCACCGCATGTACTATGCTGGTTGCATTTATTGATCAGATGACTTGGACTTAACTCTATCCAAGAAAAGATTGAACTGGCTCCTATCCCAGGCAAGGTCAAAGCTTTTAGGCATTAAATACCTTTTAACATAATACAGAGATTTAAACCCAAACAAAAAAGGGAAATTTGATTCACATAGTTCTTATGTTTTTACGGTCCATACAAGTTGGAATGATTAGACTTGTGGATGTTAATTATTTTTCCATAACCTTAAATAAACAAAAGGCTGAAAACATTTGTTATAGTCCTTTTCTAAGAATTAGGAAAATTATGAATGCAGAAACTAATTTTTAATATTTTACAATAAGCAGATTTATGATTTAATTTTTTTTTTTTTTTTTGGATGAACCTAAGCTAGCTTTAGGGCATTTGGTTTTAGAAACATGAAATGAAAGAAAAAAATTTTATTTCCTCCTACTACACATGCAAGGGAATTCAAAAAGTAGAATAACCACAAGCTACTAATAAAAGTAACAAAGAAATATATAAATAATATAATTCTCATTTTCTATGTACTTGAAAAATTAAGTAGTCCTAGAAAACTGCCTTTGGCTTCCACATTACATTTGAAAAGATAACACTTCTCTAACTTTTGCAGACATTCTTTGCTGGCAGGGAATGAAGGCAGTCAAAGCAGCAATTGCATAACAATTCCGTGTACTTGCAATTCTCACTCTGCCTAAAAGATGAATAATTCCTGTTAATAGTTTTCATCAGCTGCCTACAATAGCCCACTTTTATTGATTGGCCCATATCCCATATCAGATATTTTTTGAACTTTTTGTTTTCTTTTGTTTTTATATAGGCTTTCCTTGAGTTTCTGACCCCTCCTAGAACTTCTGCAAGCATTACAATGAGCAAAGTTTTGCTAAGTATATTCAAAGTATTACCAAACTTTGTATCTACAAAGTACAATCTACTTGGAAGGGTGAAAGTCCTACAGAAGACTTTTCTAAGCACTCTTTATAGGATTGAGAGAATACCAGAGATTTATATCAAAATAGAAAAACAAAATGGATTACAAGGTGAAAGGGAGGGAGGTGGCTTGTGATCAGAGCATAAATCAAATTTATATGATTTTCTGATTCTAAACTCCTGAGTCACTCACATAGGTTCATATTTAAAAGTTATGAACGGTGAATCTGGCCGGTGTGGCTCAGTGGTTGAGTGTCGACCCATGAACCAAGAGGTCGCTGGTTTGATTCCCGGTCAGGGCACATGCCCAGGTTGTGGGTCCAATCCCCAGTGGCGGGCATGCAAGAGGTGGCCAGTCAATGTTCTCTCTCATTGATGTTTCTATCTCTCTCTCCCTCTCACTTCCTCTCTCTCTAAAAAAATTCAATAAAGGAAAAAAATTTTTTTAATTATTTAAAAAAAATTTTTTTAAACTGGCCCTGGCCAGTTTGGCTCAACAGTTGAGCATTGGCCTGCGGCCCAGAGAGTCCCCCGCTAGGGGCATGTACCACCAAAAAAAAAAAAAGAAAAATTAAAAAAATTTTTTTAAAATTATGAATGGTACAACTTCAGTCATCACTAATAGAAGTAATTATCATACTTAGCCCCTGTTACGATACCACAGTGTACAGTTGATTCCTTTGTTACAAAGCCTGTATGTGTTCAATATTTACTAACTACGTGATTTGGGCAAGTTATTTTTCTAAAATGGAGATGACAGGAGCACTTATTTCACAGAGTAATTGAAGAGTAAACAAGTGACTATACATGTATATATGTGTGTGTGTGTGTGTGTGTGTGTGTGTGTGTGTGTATAGTACTTAGAACAGGTCCTTGTACATTGTAAATCATTAATACCTTTGAACGATTGTATTAATCAGCTCCTAAATTACATTGGGGGAATTCATGCAACATTTGTTCTTACTAATACCAAGCTATGTGAATATAATAATGAATTTAAAATACAATTTTCTGCCCCCACATTTGGCTCAGTGGTTAGAGCACTGGCCCATGGACCTAACGGTCATAGGTTGGATTCCTGGTCAAGGGCATGATGTACCTGGGTTGAAGGTTTGATTCCGTGGTCATGCCTCTCTCACATCAATGTTTCTTTCTTTCTCCCTCTCTCCCTCCCTCCCTTTCACTCTGCCTAAATAAATAAAAATAAAAATAAAAATCAATGGGAAAATGTCCTCAGGTGAAGATTAACAAAAAATAAAATAAAAATTCCTACCTATAAAAAAGTGTAGCTATATCAATCTAAAGTATTCACCTCCATAATAGAACAACATTACTATTTGTAAGAGGGTTCATGATCATAACGGGGAACGAATAAAACGAGGGAATACGTACCGAAGTCAAGAAGTTATCCAAAGTCTCTCTCTTTCCCTCTGCTCAGTTACCTCCCCCTCTCACCATACTCCGCTATTATTTCCAGTAAAACTAAATCTAATAGCAGTCCTGACCAGATGATGAGTGTATGGCCATGTGGCCATTTCTACAGTGATAAAATTTGCCTGTTACAGGCCTGTACTAATTTCACCGCTAATCTGTTCAGGATACTATGTTTTCCTAGGCCTGAATCTCAGAAGTTTAATCCAGCAGATATTTGACACTTGTGGATTTAATATTTTAGATGTTGTTTATTCAAGAACACTGAAGCTCCATAACATGCAAAACTCACCACTTTTCAGAGGTAAATTTAAATCACGCTATCCTGGTGAAACCAACACAGGAATCAGCCACTGAACTAATGAACTGAATCCTCCAACCCACTCCTTTTCATAAATATAAAAAGCACATTTATTCAAGTTTGTGAGCTATTATTCAAGTTTATGAACTATTCAGGATAATGAGTTAAGATCAGCTATTTTTCTTCCACCCGAAAAGGAGCACGGTTCTGCAAATGGCCTATGCATCATTTGTATCTCAAAACATTTTGAACAAGAATAGGGTTGTGGTTATACATGAATTAAAAGTTCATGGAATAATCAAAACTATATTTGTATTGTCTGCACCAAGGCTACGTGGTAGTACTGTGATGGAGTGAAACAATTCTAAAAGTGTGAATGTTAATCTAAAAACTTTAAAAATTGCCCTGGCTGGTTTGCCTCACTGGTTAGAGTGTCAGCCTATGGACCAAAAGAGTCGTGGATTTGATTTCGGTCAAGGGCATGTACCTTGGTTGTAGTTCAGTCCCTGGCCCTGGTCTGGGTTATGTGGGAGGCAACCAATCAATGTGTCCCTCTTGCATCAATATTTCTCTCCCCCTCCCCTACTCTATCTAAGATAAATGGAAAAATGTCATCGGGTGAGGATTATAAAAAATAAATAAAAACTTTAAAATTATTTCATTTTTATATTCTTTTATATCATAGAATAATTAGGAGTCTAAAAGGAGAGTCACTTAATATTTTTAGTTAACTTTATTTTTATAATCAAGTTATGTTATAGTGGAGCTATATCTTTAGGGGCTCTATTATGCATCTCTGGATAAATGACAGAGAGCACTGGCATTCGCATCACTACTCTCCCAGGACAGCTTCTGACCACTCCGTATGTGCTGTGCATGGTGTGGGAGCGTGTGCAGTATTTACAAGCCTGTGTGTGTGCATGAATTGAATTGAAGTGTCAGTAAGGTTTTAAGATATCAGCAAGCACAGCAGGAAGGCTTCATATCATATAAGCCAAGGTATTAAAAGGTTCCTCCTATAAGTAACTCTTTTCTCTTTATTCCTAGACTTGCCCTTGTAACTTCACAGTTTTTTGTCTGTTTGTTTGTTTTGAGCCATGGAGAACTTCATTCAATGAAATCTTTCACTGCAGCCCAAAGTAAAAAACAGGTGAAACTAAACTTCTCTATTAGGTGGCCCAGGAGCAATGTGCAGACCTGCGCCTGACACCTTTCCCCTTGTGCTTTCTTGCCCCACACTCACCCCACTGAGCTAACCTAAACCACTAATCCTTACTGAAATCCGCACAGAGAGAACACTGGTAGAGACTCTCCCTCTTGACAATTGTGTGGCATCGGACGAACTGGTTTCTAAGATTCATTTTCCTCACCAATTAAAGGAACCCAACAACAGGAAGACTAAATAAGTTACGCTTACTTATAATGCCCTGCATAGAAGCGTTAATATTATCATCAGCAGACCATTTATTCATTCATTCATTTCAGCACATATTTATTGAGAACCTATGATGTGCCAGAAACTGTTGGGTCCCAGGAAATAAAAGAGAAGAAGGTACATACAGAGGAATACTACTTGGTTATAAAAAGAAGGAAATCTTGCCATGTGCAACAACATGGATGGACTTTGAGGGTATTATGCTAATTTAAATAAGGTGGACAGAGAAATACAAATACCTTATGATTTCACTTATTTGTGAAATCTAAAAAATGAAACAAACACATACAAAAAACCTCATAGATACAGAGAACAGATTGGTTATCAGAGGGAAAGAAGTTTGCAGCGTGGGCAAAATAGGTGGAAGGGGTCAACCATATGGTGATGGATGATAAGTAGACATTGTGATGATAACTTTATACCATACACAAGTATTGTGTACAGTACAAAGTATAGTTACAAACCTGAAACTAATATAACATTATCTACCAATTATACCTCAATTAAAGAAAGGAAAATACAGATAAAAGAGTATAATTCTTGGCCCTGTAGAATTCTGGTATGAGAAAGTCATGCAAATTTGTTGAAGGGAATCAGGGAAGGCCTTCCAGGAGCATGTGCACAGCACCCAGAGGAAATAGGGAAGAGGCTGCTAGTTTAGGGGACAAAGAGAGGAGAAAGCTGGTCTGTCCTTTGATGAAGCACTGCAAGGGCGGGGAGTCTTCTTGGGCCCTTGGGCATCTAGCTAACGCTTTATGTTGAAGAGCAGGACTCTCCTCAAGGGTTTCCAAAGACCCTGCTTCAAACACTGTCTCCATCACTACACTTCTACCCTATGTTACAATTATCTGTGTAATTGTCTGCCTCTATCACACACTGGGAACTGTTTGTTCTGTGTTATGTCCCTACGTCCTTAGTCAGTGACTGACAAATGAATGACATACACTTAATATCTAGTGAATGAAGAAATGGATCGATGATTTAACGAGTAAAGAGGGAGAAACAGTGTATATAGAAGACGGGACAGCAGGAAGACAGTGTTTTCTTACTTTCAAGTTTACTTTGGATCCCGCTCAACATAGTGATGAATCCTGTCCTCCAACCCACTCTTTTAGGTAAATACCGAAAGCAAATCCTTTCATATTTAAGATAGAATATGTTTCTCTCACCCCAACAGAAGCAGTGATTCTGGAAATATGTCCCTAGCTCCCTCTCACAGTGTCCGGCCTGTGCATGATGTGTGCCATCTGGGTCCTTGGGACTCTTCCCCATGCACTTGAAGTGCATGACTTCAACATGCAGTCTGAATCAGGCAAGCATTTATAAGCAATGGGACATCCCAGGAATGAGAAAGAATAAATAGAAAACTTTTAAAAGAGGGATGGATGGTAGGTGTGGGAGTTGGGGGAGGTCTGTACAATAGGTTTTCATCTTTTATGGACCTGGGAAACAGAGTATTTTTTGAGAGAAAAGAGCTCAGGCATATATATTTTTCATTTAACAAGCTCACAAATCAATCTGATTATTCAGCAATTCAACTAGGATCTGCTTTACATCTCATAAACAAACACTTCTGGTTTTACCTTTTTGGGTTCTGGCATATTATTAATATAAATAGTGTAGATTCCACTTTTATTAAAACCAGCTTGATATACATCTGCACAGTCTCTAAATGGTTCCTCTTTTTTTCCTCCCTTTAGTAAAACTGCAAAAAAAAAAAAAAAAAAAGATTGCAATATGTGAATAAAAATATTAGTACCATTAGTACCCAAATGGACTTCACGTATAACTAAGCAAGCCTTCGTTTTCTCCAGACAAACGTCAATATTGCATTTACTGAAAAGTCTATCATAAAGACAATACTAGATTTCAAGGTGACTCATAGAATTACAAAGCTCAAGAAAGAAATCTGTAGAGCAATTTACAGCTGAATATTTTTTTATATTTTGCTTAATTTCTTTAATCTTGTTTTTCTCTACAGGTTTTCCAAAACTTCAACTCAACTGATGTGATTATGAAATACCTCTAATCAGTAACAATTATGCTAATATTCCTGCAAATTTTCTAAAAAGTCCTTACCTACATTTCATAGGGAAGTTTTTTTTTAAAATGCTGAAGCATTTTTTGGAGGAGGAAGAGATGAAGATAACAAAGTCAAACATAAAAATACAGTATGGAGATTTAAAACACTAAAAGTAGGTAGTGCTGCTTTCTCTGTGGCTTTAGATTGAATAGGTCCCAGGATTTTTTAATAAAATAAAAAAAAAAGAACTCTTAAAATAATTAGATTTAGAATTTAAAAAGGCTCTCTGACCCAATATAACTGTTTAGAAAGACAAGGACTCTGAACTTTTTTTTTTATTTAATGCCCTAAAGTTAAACTATTAGGTAGATGATACATAAATAAAAGAATGAAAGTAAATAAAGTCTGAAATTAAGTTATATAGGGAAAGAGCTCAGAAAAAGCTGGAAGTAAAGTGGAAAATAAATTTAATTAGAGATAGTCTATACTTACAACTTTATTTACTAAACTTCATCCATTATTACGTTCTTATTAATAAGATTAAAATACAAAAATGATCCATATTTAGTAGTCTTTGGCTAAAGATATGGGTAGTATATTTATAAAATATTTATGATGTAGTATTTCCTAATAAATATATATTATTTTAGTAATTGGTTTCATTAAACTTTTTCTGGAAGATTAATAATATTTTATCATTGTGCCCTTAAAGTCTCATGTTATTTAATAAATATCTGTTTCAGTCACTTTGAGTTACAATGGTCTTTTATAATAAAAATATAAAACTTAAAGTATGAATCAATGCTTTTAAATTGATTTTGAATTCTCAGTCTAAATATTAGCCCGACTTAAACTTAAGATGCATGGTGTTACTAATTTATAGGCAATTAAAAATAAACAGTCTAATCTTGGTAGAAAGAAGGACTATCTCAATATAAATATTTCAAATTAAAAAATAACTTATAGCCTGGCCAATGTGGCTCAGTGGTTGAGCGTTGACCCATGCACTAAGAGGTCGCCGGTTCTATTCCAGGTCAGGGCACATGCCCAGGTTGTGGGCTCAATCCCCAGTGGGGAGCAAGCAGGAGGTGGCCAGTTAATGTTCTCTCTCATTAATGTTTCTATCTCTCTCTCTAAAAAAAAATTCAATAAAGAAAAAATTTTAAAAACCTCTTATATTTCAAGAAAATGAAATATCCACATCAGATATGTTACCATAACAAGAATGAATTACTTAATAGTATCATGTTTTTTCCAATAGTGCGTGTCTGCTCTAATGGTTTTACCTACTTGTATTAATAATTACATTTAAACACCATCATTACAATTGCAATATCAACACAGAATCAGTAATCACAAGATTACAGGTTCATATGATAGTGAAGAAGTATTGCACAGAATGTATGCAAATAGCAATTTAAAAATAAATAGATAAATGCTTACTAAAAAGCCATCTGAAATGTCATTGGCATGTCAATAAATTATATAAAGTTATTATTGTTGTAAAAAAAATGAATGCAGTTCAGTTATGCTTGCTTATTTTAAGGTAATAGACTTGTATTTTCTAGAAAAAGGTTTTAAGTTCTAAATGCTCGATCTTCTGCTAAAAAGGTTAAAATAACTGAATTAGATGCAAAAAAAAAAAAAAAAAAAGGTTGTAAAGAAATACCAAATAAAATTTATGATCTTTTAAGAGGATGAAGAACACAGGAAGATGTGGTCAACAGAAATTCAATGGAAAACCCATTTTTCTTTTCAGGGTGAAAGACAGAGAAAGCAATTTATCTAAAGAGAAAATGCTTCTGGTTGCATAGACCACTTCCTGCCCTCCATTAGTCAGTTATGTAAGGAGAATACATTCCCTTCCCACTTCTCTGCCATGGCCCCCCCCTCCCCTTTTCTTTCCTCTTCAGGAAGATGTGGGCAAAGAGGCTGTTGTGTGGGAAGAAAGAAGCTGTTTCACACACATTCTAAGTAACGGACAAAAAAATAGGAAAAAATGGGTATTATCTTGTTTTTCTGCAAATTAATGATATAAAAATGATGTCCAAACCATAAATGTAAGTTTATAATGGGACAAATGGTTTGAGGATTCTACTATAAAGGGTACAGCTAGTACTATGGTTATACTAAGGATTCGTTGTCATGGCAACATATATAGATAATTAATTTTCTTGAAATATAGTTTGGTATTTTTGAAAAATTGAAACACTTGGCATTCTTTTTTTTTTTTTTTTTTTTAATCCTCATCCGAGGACATTTTTCCATTTTTTGTACAGACAATGTGGGAGGGAGAGAGAGGAAGAGAGAGAGAGGGAAACATCGATGTGAAAGGGACACATCGAGTGGCTGCCACCCGCACGACCAACCAGGGCCGGGGACAAACTGCAACCAAGGTACATGCCCTTAGCGGGAACCGAACCCGGGTCTCTCCGGACCGCAGGCGGACGCTCTAACCGCTGAGCCAAACCGGCCAGGGCGCACTTGGCATTCTTCACAGAAGAAATAGTTTTTTCTTCTAAGAAAAGTTAGATTGCTTGTTTTTAGTTAGATATTAATTAGTAAATGTTATGCTTAAAAGTTTGATCCAGACTACGTTTTAGAGTATTAGAGCATTTAAAATCAATTTAAAAGCTTCATTAACAGCTTACTTTTAATATTTGTATTATATACGATGGTTTGAAGAAGCCTCCTTCTATAAGGGTAGATTGACCGTCAGAGTTTTTCTTTCTTTTATTAATGTATAAAATGGGACAATAATACATATTTCTGAGGTACATGTGTGAATTATGTAACAGAGCCAAGTGATTGAATTACAGTAAGTACTCAAGAAATGGTAGTCATTATTGTTGTTATGGTAATACAATAATATTATTACTGATAACATTGTATTATTATTTTCTCTTATGGAAGGACACTAGCAAGCTATGGAAAGCCAGCCAGTCTAGTCAATGGAATGGTGGACACTGTAGTCTTCTACCCTCAAGTACAAATACTACAGCTTAATGCAGGGCAATTACAATTGACTGGTTACATGTAGGATTAGAACTGGACTCTCCTTGTCAAAGCTAATTGGCTTATTTTATTCATTGACTACATGGGTCATACCATCATTGTTTAAGTCTAAAAGAAAAAAACCAACAACCCAGGTAATATAATCTTGCGGTATAGTGTAAGCTTTATCTGAATAGTTAAAATTTAAGGATTATTACAGGTGAAATGACACATGATGAATCCACCAATATGTTGATTATAGAGGTTTTCATTTCCTAACTTAAATCTGCAAGACTAATTATTTTCTTTGTTAAGTACCAGAGTTCTGAAACTCAGTGTAATGATTAGATGTTATAAAATTGGACACATAATAAACATTTTAAAACATAAAAAGACAAGAACAAAGATGAGTTCACTGAAGATTATAAGTCTCAGAACTAGGGCTATATTTTGTAAGAGATCTTGAGATTCAATGAGATTGAAGATGTAACAAATAACATAAATGGAGCCACTGTGAAATGGAGCCAGAGCCGCCATCCCAGAGAGCTGCCTCGCACGTCTTACTTCTCAAACCTTTGGAATGTTAAAACAGGGCAAAATAACCTTTGGACTTAGCTTAAAGTAACATTGTGTCTCAAAGAACTGTTTGTAAAGATAACAAAAAATCAGATATTATGGCTACTGGACTGATGGCTACTGGGCTGAAAATTAAAAACATTGTTTAGAATTACTATCACTGTGTTAGCTTATCTGCATCACTAGAAATGCCTTCCTTCTATTGATGTACTTGTTCCCCTTCCTTTTCTCATAAATACTCTTTGCCTTTGTCTCTTAATCAGAACACTGCTGGGTTTCTGCCTGAATCAATGCTTCCCAAATAGCTGTTCTTTTTTCATTTCAAATAAATACTTGCTGCCTCTCACGTTGGCCTTTTATTTTGAGGTTAACAAAGACCATGTCGGGGAGGAATGGGTGGTGAATGACGAAAGATAGATATGGAAAACCTGATGGAAGAGGATAAAAGGAGCATCACATGGACAGTACTGGGGAGAGTGGTCTGGAGACCCAAAGAGGTGTTTATCTATCTGTCAAAGTGGTTTAAACTTTTTAAAAAATAAACTGGTTTAAAAGCATGAATTAAAAAGTAGATCTTTACATCTGAAAGTTCCTTCTTTGACCACATACTCTTATCTTTTCATCTCCCATTCTTTAATTCTTGAGGAGTTTGTTTTTTCTGTAAGTGGAATCTAGATCCCCATCGTACTATTGCCCCTCCCTGGCCTCCAGTTTCATTTTCGTAACTTTGATCTCAGAGTCAGGCAGTAAAGAACAGCTCAGAAGAAATAACACCTGAACGAATAAAACTTGTAAAAGAGCTTATCTGAACTCTATTTTAAGAGCCTGCTAGGCCAGTTCAAAGACTTTACCTACACCACTATTAGCCAGTAAAATTATTCTTTTCATTTTGTCTTATCTGCACAACAAAATATTTATGATCTAAAGGGAAAGAATAGGGACACAAGCAGGTGCATGTCTGTCTTTCCCCTGCCATCATTCAGTCAATAAGCAACCTGAGACCCTGACTCCAGCAGCTGTTGACTTTATCAGGCTCTTCCTTTTATTTGCCCAAACAGTTTCAATCCAGATGGCATATCTGCCAACAAGCTGACTTCAGGGAAGAGCCATGA